AAGAGGAATCGTGAGACCCCCCCAGGAATATATGCTAACTCTGTTTTTTTGTATGTTTGTTTCCTTTATTCTCTTTAGGGCATCCAATTCTACACTCAGCTAAAGACTATCACTTCTCAGTGGAAAGAAGAAGATGCTACTCTTTCCTCACCTGCTGTAGTCATGCCTACCATGGGCCGTTAGAAACAAATTTGTTGCAGACTCAGTCCGTCCTCAGTAATCTCCCTTTATTCTTGAACAACTCCAACTGCCAACTTTGCTCAGATAAGATCCCTGGGATTGGAATACTTTGTAACTAAAATCTGTCTAAGGACTGTTAGCGCCTGCAAAGATGCCAATAGGGAAACTCCTAGTGTAACTCTGAAATCAGATTTTCATTTGCTCTTCATAATTTTGTTTTTGAGGTAACTGTTTTAACTGTGAAATGCTTATCTGGAATAAGAGCTTAGACCTGTTTTCTAAAAGTTCTTCCCTTTTTGGGGGAGGCTCCCTTAGATGGGGAAATAGGTCAAAAATAATTCACCCTTTGGTTGATCCTCAAACATAGCCCTATGTAAATGGCAGTGGGTGAGATCCCTCTGCCAAGCTTTCCTGAGCCTCTCATTTATCCCACACTACACAAGATACAATCCATTTCTACTTGTCCCACAGTTGGGACAACTGTTTCTTTGTTTCCTGCTGAATGCCACTTTGTCTTAGTGATTTCTGACCACTAATTTTATCATTGTCACTGTTCCTGCTTCTTAAAACCACTTCTCAAGGATCCCTCAGTACACACCGGATAAATCAACTTTCTGTTATATGTGCCAAGTGTTAAATTTCAGGGATTTCTTCAGCAATCATTAATTAATGCTTCAGTCACTAATTCAGATGCCAATAAGTTTTTTTTTTTTTTACAAAACTATATAAATACTTATTTTAGGCCCAGAAATCAAGGGATGTTCCAGCCGTGAAAGTGGGCAAGACTCCTGCCTAAAGTAAGTCTAACCTGGTATTATTTGCCAAATTTTTTATGTTGTTTTTTTCCTTTTGCCTGCATTTCTCATTTGTGACACTTTTTCATGAAAGAAACCTTAAAGTAATTGATTGGGACCTAAGAAATTTCAAAGCTTTCTTTATGTGAAGTAGTAAAAGAAATGCTTTGACAGTTTTTTCTGGTACCATTAATTCACCTGTCTGTATGTTTTTTGTTTCTTTGATATAGTCAGAACAGAAATTTCTGTGCTAAACAGAATAGATTCTGTCTCTCTGCTGTACCATCCCAGTTGAATCTTGTGTTTCTGATATGGCCTTCACCCAGTGAACTAGGAGAAGGCTTCTGGATGTGATAGAGTTATTGCTGGTCTTCAGCCAGATGACATAGGTCATTTATTTCTCTGCTTCCTCATTGGTCACGTGGATAATGCTAACCTATTCCAATGGTGGGGGCGGGAGTGTTCAATGAATTAAGGGTGGTAAAAACCTTGAAAATGTTTGTGCACTCTGTAGATTTTAGGCTTATTACTACCACCTGCCAGATAGAATGTCAAAATCTTCAATCTCTTAAGGTGATTAAACTTTGATAAAATACACTTACGACCGTACTGGCCACCCACCCCCAACACAGACACCGTTTTTTTTTTTGGATCTGCCTTCCTAAAGATGAGGCAATAGAAATTCATAATTTCTTGGTAGAATGCCCTTTGTTTTATCTCTTATCAGTTAGCAACTGGTAGTGATGTTTAATCCAATCCAACAGTTACAGGCTGGGTTGAATAAAAGGTAATATTGTCTAAATTCCAAATGGAATTAAAATATAATCACAGAGACTCCTAAGTTTTCCTTATATTTAAGGAAAATCACTCTTAAGAAATAAAAACTAATCAGAATTGTGTTGCTCTAATTAGAATCAATTTATTTGGCTACTTGCTACTCAGAAGAATTTCTTATTTCTTAGATGGAAAAAAATCTGTACAATTATGTTCATGCTAGTAACAGATTAAAAATTCAATATTTTATTTTCTTTTTGCTCTGATGTGGCCTCATTTGAAATTTCTCAGATTTATATTGTACTAACTGATCATGTATAATAAATTACAAATAAAACGCTCATAAAAAGAAAACCTGGCTTTTTTTTTTTATGGTACCGTACTTCCTTATAATGCCTTTGTCTGCTAGCGTATAGTTTCTCAGACTTCCCATCTCTGTCCAAAGCCAAGAATTACATGGTCATTATATTTATTCTTACATAAAGGATAGTATATATTTTGGCTAGGCTATATATTTCAAAAGGCAATTTATAGGTTTTCCACACTAAAAGAGGCACACTTGTGCATTTGCATTAAGTATAATATGCCTTCCTTAGTGTGGATATTGTTATTAAAATGTCCATGATCTCATACTAATGTTGTTACAATTTCACTGGATCCCTCAGAGCTCCTGGCTAATAGAGAAAAGAACTGGGACTTAGCAAGAAACTGCATGGGGAAGGGGAACAGTTATGTGTATTGTTTGGTTAGATTACAGACGCCTTACTATGTCAGACTCTTGTGATCCTTCCTGAATACTGGGTAACACCAGTTCACCAGAGGAGTCAAAGATTGGCACTTGCTGGGTGATGAAAGTTTGATCTTGAAGCTTACTTTCATCCCTGCAATAATGACAAAGTAACAGACTTATCAACAACTATACACACATGGAACTTGGTTCAGAACAACAGACTTGTTATATTACTCTCACTCAGTTCTGGTGTGCATATGATGCCAACAACAACCACTGTGATCAGGCTCACGTTCATTGCTTTGTCAAGAGAGCTTACCCAGACTCCTGTGTTTTTCCATCATCAGGAACAACATAGTCTGGAACTGGAGGTCTAGAACTCTGGCTGTATTTCCTGTGGTGGGTATAAGTTAACAGTGAGGCAGTGTCTCCTTATGCCCTGTACTTCAACTGCATTTTAAAACTGCTAAATGGAAATGCCTCAGTTGGATGGGCTTCTTATTTTCAAAAATGAACTTTTACACACACATAGAGGTAGTATAATATTAGGCAAGTTAATTTAAACTTATATTCTCTTAAAGTTGAGACATGTTGAACTTAAGAGATGGAAATATTTATGAAGATAATCATGATGATACTCACACAATAGCTGTTAATGGTGAGAGGCAAGGTTGAATCAGTACTGACCAAAAGCAAAGCCAAAAAATCCCTTTCCCACAAAAAAAATCTCAAAACACAGGAAACTTGCCCAATGGAGATAGACCCAGTATGAAAATTTTCCCTTATACTTTGGAAAGTCTAGTTTAAGAACAGGAACTAAACATCATTAACGCAATACTCGAATTTGAAAGTGAGCTTAACAGAGTTACAAAATGTATAGTTAGTTGATTTGCCAGCAGATAAAGACACACCCCACTCCTAAAACTTGTCCTCAATTAGGTGCACAAGAAAGCAGCATAACCCATTCAAAATCTGGCTATATTAAATAGTCCAAACATAATGACTAATTTGACAATGAGAAGTACATGAAAAACAAATGTACTTTATAGATAATGCTGGTGCCTGAGTATAGCCAGAGTGATTGCCGATGCATTGAAGGTTATTGGTTACACTCCTTTGACTTAGTTCAATCACAAAGAAAAATATTGTACTGTTGGAGTCACAATCATATACAACCAATTGAAATCTTATCAACTTCTTAATTATTCCATTTGCCTTGGAAGACCTTTTATCATCTAATTCTTCCCCATCTGGTTTGAGTTTTCTCATTTAATCTCATCTCCATCCCAACATTTCACCATCCTATTCCTATCTTAGTTTTCCTTCATCCAACAGACTTAGCCATCATCCCATTACGGCCAGGTCCAAGTTCACTGCTCTTGTGTGAAAGATTTCACCCAAATTCCTTTGTTTCTCCAGAGTTGAAAACAACAGTGTGGAACTTGAGGCCTGGTACTCTAGCTGTATTTCCTGGGGTACAGAAAAGTCAACTCACAATGAGACACACATTCAGTACCTACAGTCTGGATTCCACCCCATCTCTTTAATAAAACTCTTTGAAAGGCTACCAGAGACACAAAGCCATTTCAAAATGCTCCATCTTCCAGTTACTCTGTAATTCTTTATAAACTCTCCTCTTTTGGTTGTACTCTTCTTTTTGTTCTCCTGTTCATCAGTTGTGGTTATTCCTAAAGGTTCTAGCCTCAGCCTCTATTCTTGTACCTTCATCTGCTCTCCTAGACTCCACTACCAGTTTTCACTAAACATTCTCAAACTCCCTCCGTAACCTCTCATGTAAAATCACTGTTTACAAATGCCTTAAGTATTTTTCACTTCAGTACATTGCTATCATCTCTGGGTCAACACTGAAAATACAACTTCGTGTTTCTTCTGTCTAGAATGTTTTTTCCTTCCCTCTTTTGTTCCAGTCTACCTTATAGAAATCAGCTCAAGCTTTTACTTACTCAGAAACTTTCCTGATCTTCTCCGTTAGGTCAGATTCCCCTAATCTAGGCTCTCTTATCTCTATATACCACTACTTAGAACCCATGTCACAGTTGTACTTTTCATTTATGTGATGATTTGATTATTTTTCTTCCCATGTAGACCATAAACTCCCTGAAATCAAGCATGTCTTTATTTGCTCAACACTATATCCTCAATAAATAGTTGGCACTCAGTATATATACTAAATGAATTAATAGATGGATTAAATGAAATTTAAACACTTCCCTCACCCTGGCTTTCCAGATTTCTCACTTGCCTTTCATACCACCATTCCTTCATTTCTTAAGCTAAAAAAGTTGAACATTTACTCTTCCTTTTCTTTATTCCTTTTGTCCTTTATCACCAAGTCCTGTTTCTCATTCCATAGTGTCCCTCAGTTTCTCACCTTTACTCCAACCGCCCCGACTCTTGCCTAAACCCCTCACCACTGCATGCCCAGAGTCGTGCAGCAGCTTCTGCTGGTCCCAACTCTATTTCTGTCCTCCAGTCCATCTTACGTTTCACTGTGTTAGGTTCACTCTGTGAACCCTTCCAATGAGAGAGTATGAGAGTAAGGCTTACTGCTCTTGGTATTCCTTCAAGGCAGAGAAGAAAAAGTATGTTACTTTACTCTAGAATCCATAATAGCATAAGTTTAGGATTTTCTGCATAGTTTTTTAAACTCATCATAATTTAATCTATAGATTAAATCTTACTTCTAACTACTAATTACTCTCTAGCATCACCAAGTTTCCTCAAACCAGGCAGTTTTTCCTCAATGTTCCCTAAATACCCTACACCCATTTCTACCTCTGGGCTTTTTCTCTGTCTGCTAAGCCCCTTGCATGATGTGCCCTTCCTGCTTTCTCTACTATACCACCGTCCTACAGGGTACCCCACAGAGCCACCCTTTTTCAGTCTTCCCTGACTACTTTAGCCCACTGACATTGTCTGAACTCCCATTATACTTTATTGTGCCACCTAATTTTTTCCTTGTTATGCTTGGTTTTGTTTGGGCAACCAAATTGTAAGCTCTTTGAGACCAACGGCAATGTCTCTTAATTCTTTTAAATCCCCATGGTACCATGGTGCCATGCATTTAACAAGCAATCAATAGTGGTTGATTTATTTTAGCCACTTTATAGTTCATTACCAAGGTTATAGTCACTGATAAAACATAGTGAAAAGAGAGAGTGAAACTCATCATTAAAAAGAATTATTGGGAATACCCATGGATTTCGGTTTTCCTTTCTAGGTCTTTTTCTTCATATTAGAGATTCCCTTGATTAATAATCAGCTTTAAAATCATTTATTTATCTTTGCAGGCCAGTACAACCTTAACAATTGTTATGCTTCTCTTTAGTTACCACTCCTTCAGCTGAGCAATGCTACACCTTCTTAGCAAGCATTACCTTAAATATCTAAGATTAATGGATCTTCCCCACTTTAATTTTAATTCCTCTTGCATTTTTGTGCTCACTTACACATTTCCCATTCTTTCTCTCTGGGAGTTGCAGTAGCTAAGCAGTATGACCATTTTATATTTTCTGGTCCTTTCCCATTCCCTTAATTCTAAGTTAGAATATGTTCATTGTTCCTATGTGGTTTGTAGGTTTGATAACAACTTGGTATTTCACTACTGAAATAGGGAGTTACCTAGGAACAAAGCCATTCATTTTTGCAAACAGCAACCTCAAGACTTTCTCCTTCTGCTCCCAGGTCAAATCTCCAATATCCACATTTCCTTGAAAATCTGTCCTAAAGAATTTCAAAGAAAAAATATGGTCAAAGTAAGCATCTCTTCTTTTTTAAAAATATAAAATATTCAAACATGAGAAAAGAGAAATTCCAAACCATAACTGAATATTAAGAGGTTTCCAAATGTAATGACTCCAAAGCAAACTATCTTCATTACAAAATCACTAAGTTAAAAAGGATATCAATGTGTTGGCCAATCTGAAGTGTTGTGTAGTCATCAAAATGAAAATAAGAAAAACTACAACAACATGAAAAAAATCTGTGCTCAAACATTAAGCAAATAAGCAAAGTAGAAAGTTGTAATGCAATGTTATCTACCCAAATACACACAAAGACAAAAGGAACAAGAAAAAAACATTTGTTTGGTGAAATTATTGATAAATTCCTTTTAGCACTTCTTTAGTATTAGATATTTTGCTATGAAAATAGAGTGATAAGAAGTAAATTTATAAAGTAGCATGTAACTTATCTAGTCTGTTTCTTATCTCCAAATAAGGCTGCATCTAAGCCTCCCAGGCAGGTACAGACTGAATCCCTTAGAAAAGTTATGGTATAGATAAGTCTACTTGCTAATTTACAAAAGCTGACTGACATGCAGATAGAGTACTAACATTGTACAATGTAAGAAATACTTTTGCATTTGGGTCATTTGGGTTTTCCTTAAGTTTAGGTTTTGCCTTATGACCACCATGGGCTTTGGTTGTCCTTCCCCAATCTGCTTCCTAAGCAAATAATGTAATATTTTAACTACCATTTCTGCCTTCCTGGTAGAGCCAATAGGACACTGGGGTTAAGGTGATAAGTTGCTCAGAAGGCAGAACAGGAATAACAATGTGGAGAATCATTTTATGAACCTTACTTTGAAAATTTATATACCACTTAATATACAGTACATTTAAAAACATGAAAGAAACTGCCTTATGTATGGTAGGGACTCAACTTGCTTGACTTATTAAATAAAAAAGAAACTTACAGTGACTCTCTTGGTAATAGAAGTGTTATTACAGACTTCTGAATATGGCAAGAAAGTAAAAAAATTATAATATGGACATTTTTTGAAGAAGAGTCTTATCTTTCAAAAGCCACTGACCATGTCCAACCTTCGCAACAGCTATATAACTTTAAAGAACCCACAAATTAGTCCATTAAAAAATAATTTAAAGCAGAAAGCACATTTGGAAGCCCTCTTAATAAAATGTTAAGTACATAGTAGTAGGGAGTCCTTTTAAGTTTCTCAAGGCCTTTGAAGAATCTAATTGTGTTGGGATATAAAAAATTTTTTAAGAATAACGTTTAAAATGCACTATAATTTAATCCATGGTTTACAGGGGGAAAGGTATTTTAACAGATAAAAATGCTAACAAGAAAAATCATTGTATATAGTCTACAACTGCCTCAATAATTCTACTTTATCATAGTGGCAGTAGATCTATATAGTGTATTTCAGAACTCTGTGGGGACTTTTGGTTAATACAGTGATGAGGGGGCACTACTGGGTGTCCTCCAATCCATAGGACAGTTCTGTATAATAGAGTTGTTACAAAGAAAGTTGTCCTCTTTCATTTTTTGATTTTTTAAATTATAGGTTTAATTAGATATTATTACCTATGAATTTTATCTCAGAATAGTAAAAGGAACACTACAAAATATTTGTGGAAGTGTGTTTATCAAAAATGTTTAACTTGAATCTAATCAAACTTTTATAATGAATATATAGGAAACAAAATAAAGGAACATGTTAAAAGATATTACGATGACATTCAAAATGGAACAAGTAATCTAGTCCTTTTAACAAGTCTGTCACACAAAAAGTGGGGGGGGGGCATATTAAGGATACCTACTAAGCCCCACACACTATGCTAAGCATAGGGGTTACAAAAATAAGTAAGGTAATTCCTCTTCTCAAGTAACTTACTGAGTAATCTATTCAGTACTTAGATATTATCAAACTGAACTTTTCAGGGTTTTTATTTCTCTAGAGAGCACAAAAACAGCAGTACAGAAGATAAAATTTTAAAGCAGTATTAGTACCATTTATTGGCCTCCATAAGATCCTGGTTCACACTATTGGTGCTGTGCTCTCTGCCATCAAATGTTCGGATTTTGGGGTATTCTGTTCTTCCTGCACATGCCTCTCTCATTTTAAAGTTGAAAGCAGCTTGTGCTACCTGTTTATAATGCTTCCTGCTAAATAGGATCTGTTGCTTTACTTGATGTAGAGCATCTAAAAAGAATCTTTCCACTTCTGTTCTCTCGTCTAGTATGTTCTTGGCCAGCTTCTTCACTCGATTCATTTCCCTGTTCTTCATCTGAAGAAGTTGCTGCAGCTTGAAAATTTCAACCTGACCCGCTTGGTTCTGTATCATTGACTGCTGCTGCAGTTTTAAAACTTCAGTCTCAAACTCTTTGGTCATACAACTCAGGGCATTCTCCAAGTTCACCACCTTCTTCTGGAGAGTTTGGATTTGTGATCTCTGCTGGGTAAGTTGCATTATCTTTTCCTTAACCAACAGATCATTGATCTCCTAAAACAGAAAGATGAGAGAAGTGAGAGGTTTTTTTTTTTTTTTTTTGATCAATTTCAGAACTTAAAAGTTCTTAATTTCCATTATTTCATGAGATTTGAGTTTGATGCCAGCTTGAAATGGTGATTTTTTGGTATTCTGTGCATAAAGAGTAAGAAACATCAAGAGTCACTGTCTGGACTTACAAAGGCCATGGATTTTGCTAATTAAGAAAGCATCCTTCCTCTAAAATCCTGAAATTATTCAATATTTTATATTATCAATAGGATATTCTAAAATCAGTAAGACTATACAGTAAAACATTAACAACTACATACTGGAAGCTGTAGCAGTCTGCTAGCTGCCTATTCCAATGTCCATTTTCCATTTCCTCCTTACTAATAAAACCCCAACTTTATTCAGAAAGGCAGTAAGCAACTGAAAAGTCCCAGTTTCCCTTGTAGTTCAGCAAAGCCATGTGACTAAGTTCTGATCAAAGGGATGCAAATAGAAACTGGGCAGGACATCCAGGAAGACCTCTAAAGGAAGGGGCATATTGTTTTCCTTCTTGTCCTTCTTCCTTCCTATTGTTTGAGTAATGGCTAGAGCTCCAGCAGCTGCTGGGGGCCATGAGGCAACTCCAAGGATATAAGCCATATGTTGCAGAACAAAGTGAAGGAACCTGGGTCTCTGTTGACTTTGTGGCACCACCATTCCAGCTCTGAATTGCTTACCTACAGACTTCCTTTAGAGGAGAGAATAAACCCTTACATAGTAAAGCCATTGTTGGCAGAGCTTCTACTCACAGCTGAGAACCTACTCCTGAGTGATTCAGGGACCAACTCTAGGGAAAGTAAAATAAATAGCAAGGTAGTAGAGGACAGGAGTTAATTTAAAGTTCTGGTATATTATTTATAAAGCCAAGTTGAAAGTTTCTTACAAACCATTCAGTATTAACTTCTCAGACAAGAAAAAATACATCATCCAGACAGAAGAAAAAAGGTCCTATTGTCATTATGTAACATTACTATACTCAGTTCTTAGTATTCACCAACCCATTCTTTTTTAAAAAGTTAGGAAAGAAGATCTAAATGAGAATGGGAACCTTTTGCTGTAAAAGGAAAGTCTGAGTCTCTTGCAACTTCTGGGAGTTTTTCTGTAGAGCATCAGCTTCCTTCAGGTGGTATGCAAGAGCTTTCTGGAGATAAACATTTTCTTTAAAAACAGTTCTTCCAGCATTGTTCAATTGCCTGAAATAGATATAAGATCCCAAAACACAGATCTGAGTTTTAGACATTACCAAACTGGAATAACTGCTTTATCCCTGACATTAATAATAATGACCACCACTTATTCAGCCTATGGTGGGTATTCAGTCATTAGGTATGGATCTTAAGAACTAAGTTCTCACCAACGGGAAAGTAAAAAGTACTGTGTTACTTCCAGTCCAAGGCAATTAAGAGCAGGCATGAGTTTCCCATGCTCTCTCTGTCCATGTGACCGGATGTGAAGAACAGGATGGAAGCAGCCCAGGTTCCTGAATTGTAACTGGAGTAGAGCTGCCAGACTCTTACTGGATTGTTACATAAGAAA